AAGAAAGATAGTCTTGAAAATCCAAGTTAAATGCTTTGATATAAACCGAGGAAGGGAAATGTCAAAGAAAACGCTTGGATGCGCCTTGTTTTCCCATAAAGCAATGCCACTAAAACCTCCAAAAGCTTAAATCTACAATAATCCCGCTGATCAAAAAAAGAAAAGAAAATCTACAATAATCCTTGTCTCACCTCCTTTTAACATATTTTCCATGAGTTAATTAGTTCAATGATATATATATTTTTTATATTAGTTATACAATAAAAAATAATTTTTTTTATTTTTTATCTTACATGCATTTCACACGATTCAAATTTAAGATATCTTATTTTTAATGAAAAGAGATTACCACTGAATTATTTAAATCGTTGGTAATTTAAAGATAATTGAAGACAGTAAAATCTTAAGTATTTTACAAGTTTTTTTTTTTTGGTTAATTTCTTATATGAATCTCATGTTTCAAAATTATGCAGGACATGATGATCTAATGAAGTTTCATGTTCAAATATTCAAACACACGGGAAAAGGTTTAGTAAAATGGGATGAGGACATCTCATGATTTAAAAACATATATTGTATATTTAATACTCGCACATATAAAGATGGACTGTTTGTAATGTCTTCCCTTAATTACCAAATGAAAAAAGAAGAGGCAATGTGGTCAACTCATAGCCATCAACTCATAGCCATCTGATTTGGGCACACGACCATAAGATAAGATGCTTTAGGAACCGGGTTTTTAGACTCAATAGTTCGACCTCAAACTTTAAGTGTTTGGGTGAGGAGGTCAGAACTTCAAACTCCACCACTGTCGTGAATTCCACCAAAAAGCAGTTTGATAGTCGCGCGTCTCATTTGAGGAGGTGGAATGTTTACTCGGTCTGAGAATTAGTTGCTAATAATTAATTTATGTTAACTTTCTAATCATTATTCTTGTCAAAAAAAAAATATATAGCTTTAGTGTTAATTTTAACATTATATTTAAGATAGATGAAGCAAAATGTGTTAATACTTTAAATTAAAATGTGAGGAATATACTTAACTCTAAACAATTTTGTAGCCGTACTTCAATTTACAGATCGAGGACAACTGGATGAATCAAATTCGGAGTTGACCCATCAACATAAATTAAATTGATGACGCCCTGCCGGGAATCAGAATTAATCCACTCCAAAAGAATCATATATTAGTCCTAATTAATAATATTTATTAAAACGATACGTACGCATTCAATTTTATCTCATAATAAAAATTTATTATCTTCTTTATTTTCTTATTATAAGCACGAGTCATCAATTATCAATTATATATAGTTTATTCAATTATGCAAAATTATATATAATTTAAATACCTTGCTAGAAGGCAAAGGCAATGGATAGGATGCAAATTTGATGGAAATAAAGTGTGGAAATCAAAAGTTTGCTAAAAAAATACCAATTAATATTGACCATTTAAATCCTCTTTAATGTGTCTCTCCTCTTTTAGCCTGAGTGCAAAGGGTTAAAAACTAAAAAGTATTTGTTGATAGTGTTTGACCTACATTTAGTATTGAGTGTATAGGCAAACGGTTGGCCGGAGTTTTCAATTGCCATTAGAATCATATCCATTTGCGTATGTATGAGTGGAATTACTTTCATGGAATTTTTTTTCTAATTATTGACCTAATCACCTCCCATTACTTTAAAAAGTGTTTAAATATTTTTTTTAAGGAAAATGATTTGTATATCATCTTATCACGTAATAAAATCTTTTAATTTTATGTGACAGTACTGTATAAGGCTTGTAAATAAATATATATTTACTATCTATTTAATGACTTATAAGATAATTAATTAAAACTGCGTTTATATCAACTCCAATTTGTGAATCTATTTTCATGATGACCCTACCAATGTATTAGAATCTAGTAAAAGGGAGTACGTAAGGTTGCATTTCATTGGAGAATTGTGAGTAGGATTTCAATTAAGAACCCTTAATTACGAATCCATAATGTTCAAGCATGCATGCATGCGGTATAAACTTTGAAAGGGGGTTGAACGGTTGAAGTTTATATATGAAGGAATGAAATATTAATTAATTTGAATATAAATTTTCTAAAGGAAAAAGTTACTGGACAAAGAATAATGCCTAGGGAAAAAAATGTTTGCTGCAGTCCTTGATTAATTTATGATCGTCACCATCACTACTGCGGCAATTCATTTGTTTTAGTGTTGGAAAGTTTAAAATGGATTAACATTTTAATTGATCCACTAATTAATTAATTAAGTCAAAAGTATTCATTTTGCTGCCGAAAGCAGGTATTAATTAATTTGTTACCTAAGATTCTTCTTCTTCTTGGTTTATCTGGTGTTTTCCAGAAGAATAACCCATATATCTTACAAGTTTTATACTCCTACTGATAAAAAATACATTGTCAAAGAGGATTCTGGCTGCTGGTGCATTGGAAAGAATAACACTTCTTGGTTTGAGCTCTATATATTGTCCTGTGCTGATGTTTGTGCAGTTCAGGTTTCAATGATCATATATAGGGCTTGATGTTTTGAAATTAGAGCAGTTGAGTAGTTGATATATGTTTTTTTAATAATAAAGTAATTATTAATAGAGATAAGATTGAAAAAAAAAATTAATCTTGTGTTGAATTTTTTTTTTTATTATTGTGACTTGTATAATGTAAGGTGATTCTTTTTTAACTTTCAAATTCATTCTATACACATGTCATGCAACTTAAATTTAAGGTTTTTTAATTTCATTAGAAGGATATTACTACTGAGCAACCTAAGTTGTTGACAATACTATGTTGAAAATTGAAATTAATAAGTAAATTAAATCATCTCCTTTTAAAAAGGATGACAAATAATATGAAATTTTAATTAATAATAATTTTTTTACAAACTTTTGTAATTTTTTCAATGATCCTTTCAAATAAAAATGTGACAAGTAAAATGAGAAGGAAGTAGTAGTTTTTATTTTATTTACATAGAAGAGTAGAGAAAGGGTGTAAATAAGTATGCAAATTTTGTCTATTTTTACTTAATGATATAAATTTTATCA